GTTTTTATTTAGAAAATATATAAAAGTTAGAAAAGCTAGAAGGATAGTATGCCCTTCAGCTAAATTCATCAGTCAACAGCTTAACATTAAAAATTTTTTTTAATGTTTATATTTGAGAGAGTGTGGGGAAGAGGCAGAGAGAGAGGGAGACACAGAATCTGAAGCATGCTCCAGGCTCTGAACTGTCAGCACAGTGCCCAGTGTGGGGCTCAAACTCATGAGCCGTGAGATCATGACCTGAACTGAAGTCATGTGCTCAACCGACTGAGCTACCCCAGCGCTCTTTAGCTTAACATTTTATAATATTCTCTCCCTTTCTCCCTTTCCCCTCATGTTCCCTCCCATCCTATGTACTATAAACTTTTCTTTCTTTTTCTTTTTTTTTTGTTGAGCCATTTAAAAGTATATTATAGATTCATTACCCTTACACTTCAGTATACATCTCCTAAAAATTAGAATATTTTCCTGCATAACCTTAAATACCTTATTATGCCCCAGCAGTCTGGCATTGATGCAATAAAATGATATAATTTATAATCCATATTTAAATTTTTTCCATCTATCCCCAAAAATGTCCCCTGAAATGTCCATTTTTTCCTCCTGTGAGACCTAATTCATGATCATATGTTACATTTGATTGTCATATCTCTGCATCTTTAATCTAGAGCAAGGCCTAGCAGACTTTTCTTTGGAGATCAGCTGTACTTTGCAACTATTCCACTCTGTCATTGTTGCTAAAAAAGCAGCCATGGACATTATGTAAACGGATGAGTGTGATTATGTTCTAATAAAACTCTGTTTATAAAAACAGGCTAAAGGCTGTAGACCTCTTGTCTAGAATAGCTTTCTATATTTTTTTGTCTTTAATGACACTATTTAATGACTGAACAATCAGGTCAACTTTTTGGCAGGATGCCCCCCAACTTGGGTTTTTAAAAATGTTCCCTCATTATTTTTTTAAGATAGCAAATGCCATGCAACCTTAAAAGTTGTTTCCACAATAGAAATGGAAATCTAATTTCTTGGGAAAGATTCTCGTTTAGTTGAAAATAAAATCTTATTCTTTCTTCCTTTGTCTCTCTTAAAGTGTGTATAGAAATTGGACATTAAAATGAAACTTCTAGACTGCTAATTTCTTGGTATTCTCTTGTAGACACCAAAAATTTCACCTATATATACTCTTTTATATAAATGTGTTATATTCACAGATGTAAATAAAGAATTCAAGAGGGCTTCGATAATGAACGGTAGTGAAATAACTTAGATTTAGAATTGAAGAGTATTTATATTTTAGTCAAATATAATTCCATAATATAAAAGCTAAAGTTGTCTTATGTTGAAGACATGCAACAATAAAATTAACAATTCTTTGCCACAGGTAAGCCTACTATTTTTAGCACTGGATTCATTTTTAGAAATAAATATTTTTGATAGATTTAATACAGAGTTGTCCTTGTGGGAATGATGTTACTATATTTGCATTCATACAAAAGTATATACATTTAAAAAAATCATTCTACAGATTACTTTGTTGAATGAGTAGCAAAAGTGTGAAAGTAGCATGTTTTACTGGAATTAAAGAGTGTGAGTATTTTTAGTGCTTGAATTTCCTTTAAATATCTGTATGAATATCTGTGGTTGGGTGCTATACTGCCTTCATTTATTAGTTTTGACTAAGACAATGTTTTTCTTCATATTGTGCCTTTATCACAATTTGATTCTTGTTTGACTCTTGACCCTGTAAAACAAATCTGTTTCCTTTTCTGCATAGCTGTGTATTAAATAAAGATTGAAACAGTATTCTACTGGAGGATTTAATTTCTTGGCTAAATATTCTTAGAGTCTTTAACCATTCTTTACCTCACATCTCCACAATAAATGGCTATATGATCTTGACAGATTACTTACTCTGTGCCTTGGTTTCCTTATTTGTAAAATAGAGATAATAGTACCTATCTTACAAGTTTATAATGAGGACTGTGTTATTACACTTAAAGTACAACGTCTGGCTTATAGTATACATTCAGTAAATGTTAGACACTATTGTTATTTCTTATTCTATACTTTCTCATCCATCTTGTCTTTTCATGAACCTGTTTGTCTCTCGTAAAGCAGAACTGAATATAGTAAGAGGGATGATCTGACCAGTCCAGGAGGAATACAATGGTAACATCCTCCATTAAGTTGAAGTTTTCTTATTTTAATTCATTGTGGAGAATTTCAGACTTACAAAAATGTAGACTAATATGATGGACCCTCACATACCCATCCTCTGTCCCCAACAGAATGGCCAATCCTGTCCATTCAGTCCTGTATAGCTTTTTTTCTCCCTCTTTGGTGTAATTGTAGCTCCTCTGTTATACCTAAAGTCCATGCCTGATTTACTTTGATAATTACTAAAGCTTTAGCATCTTATTCTCTTAGTAAATAATTATGAAATTAATGAACAAATGAATCCTGCCTTGATTGATGTCTGGATCAGCTTCCAGTAGTTTGTTTTTGGAGGTTAAGTGGGTGGGTAGGTGGGATTGAAAATATGTTTGCTTGTATCATATTTTTAAAATTTTTTTCATATATATATATTTTTTAAGATGTCACCCCAGGTGTTTACAGTTCCTTCCATTTCTGTATGGGGATATATGTGGTAATCTTACTGGTAAAATCTCTGAATACTCTAGGAAATAATTCAAATTAGGTGGACTAGAAGACTTGACTTTACTATTTTCTCAATATTTCTTAATTTTCTTAATATTTCTTAATTTCACTTAATCTGGATTTTAAGACTTTTACCAATGTTTATTATAGGCCTTTCAATTTGATAATCATTTTATCTTGATAAAAGAGAAGCAACTAGAGGTTGAAGAATTATACTTTGTCATATCTGTTGAAATATTTTTTTAAAGTCAGAGTTGTGGAATACTTTAAGTACACTAAAAATTGTTAACAATTTATTGGTTTCAAAGAGAGGCTTTCTTCCTAGTGGCAACAACTGACTATAGCACTTTTTTTAAATTTTTTTTTTAGTGTTTTTATTTATTTTTAAGAGAGAGAGAGCAGGGGAGGGGCAGAGAGAGTGAGGGAGACAGAATCTGCAGCAGCTTCAGGCTCTGAGCTGTCAGCACAGGGCCCAAAGCAGGGCTCAAATTCACAAGCCATGAAATCATGACTTGAGCTGAAGTCACACGCTCGACCGACTGAGCCACCCAGGTGCCCTGACTGTAGCACTTTTTTTCAAGCCTGTGCTTATTTTTTCTATAACTCTGTTCTTGTTCCTTATTGTTAACTGTGCTTTCAACAGTTTGCTGAAAATTTAATAGGCTCATAGCCATTTTTATATTGATGATACAGAAGTATGCAACTCTTGCTTAAAACAGAGGTCATGTTATAGAGACACCATGAGAAGTCTTTTGTTTTTCACTTAGTGGGGAAGGACTTCTGAAGTTGAAGTGTGGCAGGCAGTTCAGAGTATTGTAGAGAGGATAGGTTCCAGTACTCAGCTCACTACCGTCACCTTAAGATTGAGCCTGGGTGAGCCTGCCTGGTGGAAACAGCCAGCATAGGCAGGGTTTGTATGCTCCATACATTTCAAAGCAAATGAGAGCTTTGTGAAAGTGAGTTTAGACTCCATATCTGTAACTTATCCAGGAGTGACTTAGTATGGTCCTTGCTTTCTAACTCAGTTCTAACTTTTCAATGAAGTATCTTTAGCTTCAGAGGAATTTACCCTTCAATGTTAGCAGTTTTTACCTTAATATAAACATTTCAAGAACAAGAATAACGTATGTTTTTTAGGCAGGGCGCTTAAAAAGTGTCCTGGTGAAGAATGTCATGTTGGAATTATGCCATGGCTGTGAACCTTAGAATTACATTGTCTTACCTTTGAAATTTCTGCTAGTTTGCAGACTTCTGAACTTAAAAGAGACTTTGGTTGCACAGAACATCTGTTTATTCATTTGTTCAATCAAAAAATATTTATTGATCATCTATATGCTGGGAAGTGTGTTGCACAGTGGATAAAACAGTGAACTTCTCAGATGTGTTTGCCATTATGGAGTTTACAGTCTAGTGGGAAATGGAGTGAAATTTATTTGAAGCCATAAAGAAAATTATGTTTTACTTACACGTTAAGGACTTAACCACTTAGTTTGAAGCAAACTTGGAATGACTTGTTCTTGATTGTTTTTGCACAGTGTATTCGAACATTCAGGATTTTGGGGTAACATATTTCCATATGTATGTGTATCAACATGTGGAAATAGACATCAGTCAGAGAAGCAGGACAATTTGTACCAAAAAGAGAGAGAGAGAGATAAAGAGAATTAACTAGTATACACATACCATCGTGAGATTTCAGGATAATGACAGACAGTAGATTTTTCTGGGTAAAACTATATGTCAGTTGTGCTAAACAGACCTTTGTAGATAGGGAGTAAATATCTTTAAGGCCTTTCTTCTTTAAAAGTGTTCAATAGTTAAGAATTGCCTAGAAAGTAAACTTCCTGTGTGGGAGTATAATAGAGTAAATGAAAACCATGACACCTAAGATCATATCTGAATTATTTGACAGTTTCCTGTAACTCTGGGCAAGAAAATGTACTTCGGATTCCTTACTCCCAACAGAGTACAACAGAGGGGCTGGATTTGCTGATTCCTCCTAGTGCTAAAACCTTATGATTTTATTTTATTTTTATTTAGCAGTTTCCTAATGACTTTGCTGGAAAGTCAAGATGCCTTCTTATTTTCTTTACTTGTTCAGGTTCAAGAATTAAAAACTTAAGATGGGGGAATAAGGCTTTGCTTTCTCTAACTGATATTTTCTGACTAGGTACTTCGTAACTCAGGAAGACCTCATTTATTCCCAGTAATATGTTTTACTAAACTCTTTCAGGTAACTTTAAAAAGACTGTGTGGCTTAATAGTAGATCATGGCTTGAACTCAGTTTTTAATTTATTGTTGTTACTAGAAAATTTTAGTGAGGTATTTTTCTTTGTCTCTGTAGTTATCAGAGACTGTTACAGACGATTGCTGTACTCGAGGCTCAGCGTTCTCAAGCAGTCCAGGACCTTGAAAGTTTAGGCAAACACCAGAAAGAAGCACTAAAAAATCCCATTGGATTTGTGGAGAAACTCCAGAAGAAGGTATATATTAGCACTGTTTTTGAGCACTGTTACTGAGAATATATTTGGTGATAACTTGATTTATTCTTTCAATATGGGTAAATATTTTTTAAGTGTTTCATTTTTTTCCCTTCTATACCTAACCATACTACTGAAGGCAGGATGATGCCCGCCATGGGGAAAAAATATACCCCAATGAAAATAGCTGGGAACTTTAATTGAATATTTTTATATTAGGAGCTTGTTCTATTGCCTAGCCATTTTTAGGATCTTTTCCTGTTATCTTTCCCATCTTAGAGAGTATTCCTTCTTTCACGACTTCAGGATTAATAAAGTGAAAAGAAAAATTACTTTAGGGTTTATTAATTGCTTTAAATAGAAGTTACTTTTGTAATTTCCCTTGTAATATGATAGAAAATATTTGTGGTAAGAACAAAAACTATTTTAAATGTCTTTAAGGTTATGGTTACCGAAGACATGAGGATAAGATACAAATTTTACTTAATTTTATAATGTCCTTTATTTTAGTGTAAAAATTCCTTTCAATTTTCTCTTTTCCTTAAAACAGAACTTTCATATTTAACAGTTAACCATTTGAAAGTGATTCAAGGTTTTATCACTTTCTTGTATGTAAATATGGAGATAATTTAGATGTGCATTTATTACCATAGTGTGTGTCTTGAATTAGGGACCCACTGATTGTTCAATAATTTGAGAGGTGTAATATTAATCAGCATTGTATGAAAACATTAAAACTGAAAAACTATGAAAAAGATTCTTCTTACTCACCTTAAAAAACAAAAAAACCTATAAAGTATGACCACTGTAACATAGTTATTAGTTACCAGTTTTTAATGAGTCACAAAAAGTGGTCTACTAGGTGTTGAGGGAACAGCCCTGGGGACTTTGTTTCACTTAGTTGCATTAATTTATTATTTGGATTTCTCTAGCTGTATTATTCCTTGGCAGTCATTACTTTCTCTCCATGCTTCAGATCACTGAATATCATCATGTATATAGAATCTGTATATTGATTTGCTAAAACTTCTAAACTTTTTAGGATCCTGTTTGCCCTCTTTGTATAGTGAGTCCACTTAGGTGTTTATTGATTCTGCATTGCCATTATTAAACATTTGCTGGTGCAAAAAGATAGAGCACTTACTGTGGTTACTTAAAATTGATTCAACTAAAACAGATGGTGATAGAAAAGTAAATATTAAAGGTTTATTAAACTTGATCTTACTTTATTCATGTTCCCTGCTGGGCAAAAATATGCAATTATGCTTATTTACTAGATTTATAGGCAGTCAGTTATTTGCTGGTTCTCCATTTCCAGGTATAATTTAGAACTGAATTTCCTTTCACTTTATCTCAGAAGCAGAGATGGGATATTGACCATCTAACAATTTTTTATCAAATTGTACAGAATTACATTAAATCCAGACACTTGAACAATTATGACTTACATTTCTTGCAAAGAAGTTTTTCTGCTGGATTTAATTTAGAAGTTTGATTTTTCCTTTTTTTGTGTGTGTGTTTATTCATGTATACAAATCTTCCTCAACTTAGATGGGGTTATGTCCTGATAAACCTATCTTAAGTTGAAAGTATCATAAGTCGAAATGCATTTAATACACCTATTCTACTGAACCTCATAGCTTAGCCTAGCCTACCTGAAAGGTGCTTAGAACACTTACATTAGCCTGCAGTTGGACCAAATTACTTCACACAAAGCCTGTTTTATAATAAAGTGTTGAATATCTCATGTAATTTATTGAATACTATACTGAAGGTTAAAAAGAGGATGGTTATATGGGAACAGAATGGTTGTCAGTGTATTAATTTTTTACCCTTGTGATCCTGTGGCTAACTGGGAGCTGCAGCTCACTGCCACTGCCCAGCAGCACGAGAGAGTATTGTACTACATATTGCCACCCTGGGAAAAGATCAAAATTCAAAGCACAGTTTCTATTGCATACGTCACTTTTACACCATTGTAAAGTGAAAAAATCCTAAGTTGAACCATCGTAAGTTGGGGACCATCTATACCTAATTTACCTATTTCTTTAGATTTACCATGCTATAAGTTGTTGACATGTATATGTTTGTTTTAATGGACATTTAGAAACTCCTAATTGAAATAGAGGAAACTTGTGGTATATGTTGTTGTATAGAATGCAGAGAACATTTATGGCTTGTTAGCTTCCTTCAGTATTACTGTCACTATTTTAAAAGACACTCTAATTTTGCAAAAGTTGAACCTTAGACTAATGTGTACTATTATGATGATGGTGATAATGTAATATAAATAAAATAAAAATTATGAATTCTGTGTCAAACAGTTAAACTGGATTTTTCTTTTCAGTTTCATAGTTTTTGAGCTAATTTTTTCTCAGAATTCTACTATGGAAAATGTCAAGTACACAGACAAATTGGAAGTATTATATAGTTAACATACACATATTCACCCCTAGATTCTATAATTAACATTTTACTGTATTTGCTTTATCATGTATGTATCTATCAATCTTTCATCATTCCATCTTATAGCAAGAATGCATTTTAAAGTTGCAGACATGAACACTTCACACCAAGTTACTTTAGAATGTGTATTATTAACTAAAATTTATTTTTAAAACATTTTTAAGGTGAAATTTCTATATAGTGAAATTCACAAATTCTAATTGTACCATTCTGTGAGTTCTGGCAAAAAAAACATGCATATATGTAACCAAAATCCCTATCAAAAGATACTGATTATAATGATCTGTTTTTAGTAATTATGACAACTAATGACTTCTATAAAGGTGGTTGGTTAAGTAACTGAATTAATTCCAAGTAGAATGAAGGTGTAGCTGTGATTCTCAAGGTGTCATAATTTTTTGTATATGTGATGAGAGTTATATTATTGTGAAAATAATTCATTGTTTTATGAATAAGTCATGAACACGGGAGTACATTTAAAATGAATTCCATGTGTCAAGTTTCATCTGTTGCAATCAAAACATTTCATATGCTGTTCTTAGAGATAAAATCCTTTCTTGGCTTTGTTATTTATGTTTAAAGTGTGTTAGTGATAAAGTACAGTATGTCTATGTAGTTCAGCTTTGGAGCTGTATCTAAAAATAGTGCTTATATCATTCATTCTTCCTTACCAGCTATCATTTTTACTATTTAATGTTTAGACTATATTATCTTTAACTTTATTGGCTGGTGGATTCAAACAGTGAATAGAAGTGCCCAGTTGATGATAATTTAGATTTGGAGTCCTCTGAACGTTTCAGTTAAATTTAAACTGTCACTTTTTTCCCCCCAGGCTGATATAGGGCTTCCATATCCACAGAGAGTTGTTCAATTGCCTGAGATTGTATGGGACCAATATACCAATAGCCTTGGGAACTTTGAAAGAGAATTTAAAAATCGTAAAAGACATACTAGGAGAGTAAAGCTAGTTTTTGATAAAGGTAAGAAATTACATGTTAAGAATTTACATAGAGAACTATCTGGCGGTCTTGCTTTAATAATCCTGTACATGGTCTTCTTTTTAGTAGGTTTACCTGCTAGACCAAAAAGTCCTTTAGATCCTAAGAAGGATGGAGAGTCCCTTTCATATTCTATGTTGCCTTTGAGTGATGGTCCAGAAGGCTCAAACAGTCGTCCTCAGGTAAACAGTATGAAGTGTTGGAGTAGGAAGATTTGAGTTATAGATAAAATATGTTAACATTTCCTGATTTGTATTCTTAAAATTTAGGCAGTGTTTCACTGAAGATAGTGGGAACATGAACTTCGAAGTTAAGAGAAACCTGGGTTGGAATCCCAGCTGTATTGCTTACCAGCGGTGGAACATCAAATGTTATTTATATTAAAGCCTCCAAGCTGCAGTTTCCTTTTATATAAAAAGGGGTTAATATTACTTGTGTTGTAGAGTTGTGTGAGGAATAAATGAATAGTACATGTAACATGCTTAGTACACTGTGTGACATGTACTGTTTATTCTAAAAATAAGAGGTCTTTGTGTGTAAGTGTAATGTAACCAGGATTTGAGTCCTGGCCTTGCCACTAGTATTTAGATGAACCTTGATTGACATGTGGGTTCAGAATGGAAATGTAATATTTCCTTTTCTTTAAAATGAAGTTGTTGTCATCTATATCACAGGATTGCTAGTAGTATAAAACCAAAGGAAATAAAGGAATGTGAAAACATTCTCTAAACAATAAAAAATTATACATTATATAATAAATTTACTAAAATATTTTGAAATTAAAAAATTCCACAATATGTGTATTATTTGGCTATATCAAATGGTAGTCTTTGTTATTTTTGACAAAAGCCTTGTTTTATATGCAGATGATAAGAGGACGCCTTTGTGATGATACCAAACCTGAAACATTTAACCAACTGTGGACTGTTGAGGAACAGGTAATAGATATTTCCTAATTGTATAGGTTAAAAAAAAGGTTCAGATTAGAGTCAGTATTATGAGTAAAGTATATATTGTTGTGTGTGATCCCTCTTAACCAAAAATTCAAAATATTAAACTTCATTCTGTATACTTTTTTTTTTTTTTTTTGGCCCACTTCAAGAATTTTGGATTTTGAGAACGTATGAATTCCTATTTGGAGATGATTTTTAAATCGGGAATCTTGGTTGTGGGAAGTAGATTGAAAAAGATAGTGAAATGGGTGGATTAAAGTTTCTGTAATGCAGCTTTGGGAGAGAGGAAAAACCTGGGGCCAAGTAAAACAGTGCCTCAAAGTGAATTCTTGTTTTTGTTATGAAGGGGAGCTGACAGAGCCACACCAGAGTGTTCTGTTACATTTTGGCATACGGCTAGGAGGCTAGGACTGTTCATGGATAAGGTTTGAGACACATCTCTCTTTCATATGAGGATTAACTCCTAAGCTATAATAAAGTTAGCAGTTTTCGAAAAGCTTTAGGAAACCTTTATTTCAAGCATCCAGTTTATTCTTCATCTTTAGCACTGTGTGACAATTTAAGGGATAGCTCAGAATTTAAAAATCAAATATTTGAGTGGAAGACCACACAAAGGAGGGAAAAGTTTAAGTTTCTGTCTAAATCCAAATGAATTTAGTTATTTTTGTTAAATCTATATGGGGCAAGCCTAAACATAGTCTAGCAAGAAAAGGTGGTGAGTGGAAATCATTAAAATGCATAAAGTGTTATTAATTAATTAAAAAAATTTTTGGTGCTGTGTTTTTACTTAAGTGACCAGAGAATCTTTAAGTTCTTCCATAGGTTTATGCTCTAATCTCATTTTTCCTAGTAAAGCTTAAATTCCTTACTAGAAAATTTTCCCGCATCAAGGATTTCTAGTGACCTAACCCGCAGAGTTGTGGGGGGTGTATTATAGTTTAAAAGGAAGTGTGAATGTATTTATTCATTTATGTAAATGTATTTATTTATGAAACTCAGTATTAAACTTGGTCTTGGATTTGTCTTAGAAAAAGCTTGAACAGCTACTCCTGAAATACCCTCCTGAAGAAGTAGAATCTCGACGCTGGCAGAAGATTGCAGATGAACTGGGCAATAGGACAGCAAAGCAGGTAATTGAGGAGATGGCCGCATATTGCTGGCCTGTTTTTGATAGTTTTTTTAATGAAGGATAATGCATTTGGCATAAAATTTGCCACATCATTTTTAAGCTACACAGTGCTATAGTATGTGATTTTTTTTGTTATGTTTTGTTTTTAGCATTGTATATTTTGTGTTGATTTCTTCAGAAACAACTTGAGATGATTCTGCTTCAGATCATTACTAAAAAATAAGAATATAATGTATTTAGTGTCTCTTGAATGTTTAGTGAGTGCACCAAGTTGTGTACTTGGTTAGGCTGTGCTAATAGATGTGTGACATACTTAGTAAATATCTCTGATTGTCTTTCTAAAAAAATATATAGCAGTTTTCTTCTTTGCATTACCATTGATATTAATAGATGTGTTTTTATTGCAGTGTTCACAAGTTGAAAATATGCGTTTAGCTTTGGAGTCCAACAAATTTCCTGTATTTTAATGATTTTTTGTCTAGATTTTAACATATAAATGAGTTTGGTGGCAGTTTAAAATTATATCTAGATTTATGATAAATTTTAGATTGTTAGCATTCATTAAGATAACACAGGTATATTTTAATTTTTAAGAACTATTCACATAATGCATGTCTTGTAATTTTGTTAAATGGCTTATTATATTTTCTTAGGTTGCCAGCCGAGTGCAGAAGTATTTCATAAAACTAACTAAAGCTGGCATTCCAGTCCCAGGCAGAACACCAAACTTATATATGTACTCCAAAAAGGTAAAAAAGAAAATAGAGAAAGTAAACTTTAGATCTTTGATTAAACTTATCAAAGAATTGCTATGTAAAAGTGTATACATTTATCAGAACAAAGTTGTTTTATTTTTAAAATCTGACTTACTCTAAGCATTTTGGTATATTGGGGATGGACACAGGGTAGGTTTCCATTATTGCTGCTCAGTGAAATTGAATGATCTTTATATTTGTTATTTTCTTAGGAGTAGATTAGTTTATGTGAATGGGTGCTACTTGGAAGATTTAGATTGAGGGTATATCAGAAAGGCCTTTGTGATGTTACAAATTTTAGAATGTTTGACTTTTTAATAAACACAATCAATTTCTGTTTTTAGATATGCTATGTAAATCCAAAAATAGAAATGTTTATTAAAATATATTATTTCTCACTACAGTTCTAGAAGTGTGGATAGTGTTATCACTTTCACTTTACTGATAATAATATTAATAGCTAGTTTTTACTCTTCTTACTGGAGGCTGAGGACCAGGTGCTGTTGTACAGTCTTTTTATAGATGAGAAAACTAGGCCTTGGGTGCCTGGCCGATGCCATTGGTAGAGCATGTGACTCTAGATCTCAGGGTTGTGAGTTTGAGACCCATGTTGGGTGTAGAGATTACTTAAAAATACAATTGTAAAAATAAACAAAAAACTAGGCCTTAAGGTAAATTGAGTCAGTTGTCTAGTCATATAGCTAATAAGTCTGAGAACGACTGATCCTCTGATTCTGATCCCAGCCCTTTTCCCACTATTCTGTTCTATTCTGTACAGTAAAAAAGCTGTCGTTCCTCTCCTACATAAACCATTGCATCAAATTGTAGACGGTTTTTTGCTTTAATTGCAAAAAATAAAGCACATAATTGGCCTCTTTCATTTCCTTAGTAAATCATCCTGTTATTTGCCCTCTACCACTACTGCCTTCCTTCACATAAGAAGCTAAGAGTATATCTAATGCTGTTAGTTTCCTTATTGAAGCTGTTTTACATAATTTTACATTAAGAATATTGTCTGTACAGCTCCATGTTTTACAAGTTTTGTTTTTTGTCTTGTTACCAAGTTTTGGAAGCTCATTTTAACTTTTCAGTTGATTTAAATAATTTGGATTCCCTCCTCTCCCACACCTCCCCCGTATAGCATTACTTATATCACATATGTAGAGTTCATCCTATACCTTTGGAATGTTGGAACCTTGATAAGCGGTTTTCAGTTTAATAGCTCTAATTTTTATGATTAATTTCCAAATTAACTTTAGATGTGCTGGGTACCTTATATTTTCACAGTTAAGACTAGTAATGGTAACAAAAGGAATACTAAAGAAACCTGAACGTATTCCCTCCTGAATGCACTGAACTCTAAGTTAATTAACATTTTGACTGTTGACTGTAGAGATCTAGCCCAGCCATAGACGCAATGATTCCTTGGCACGGTTGGAGTTTGAATCTTGAAACAGATGAAGTGATGGTTCTGCCTGTAGCTGAGGTTATTCTTTGTGGCTCTACTGTTTATGAAGAGAGGAAGTCTACATAGTGGTTTGAGAGTGAGGGCCTTGGACCCACACAGGCCCAGTTTGTAATCTTGGTGTTACCACTGTCTAGTTGTAACACCCTGAACAAGAACCTTAACCTCCATCTTTAAATTAGAGGTGATAATAACTACTTCATAGTAACGTTGTGAGGGTTAAATGACGTTGACAAACAGTAAGCAATCAATCAGTGTTAGTAGTTTTAGACATTAATCATGTTGTGGAAAATTTTTTTACTTGATCATGTTATATCTGGCTTAGGCTACTTCATCCTCTCGGATCTTCTATACAATGACTGTAAGAGGAGTTCAGCATTTGAATGTCAAGAGTATGGTCAATGTTGGAGATACAAATATAAGCTAGATAGCATGTGAGCCATTATACTGTTTTTGGAGTATCTCCCCCGCCCCTACATTTTTTTTGTAAACCTGGTTGTGCTTTAAAAATCCAGATAATATAGAAAAAACAACCACATAAGCATGTACTGAAAGGTAGAGCCAGGATCCTTTTAATAGATAGACATGGAGGAAGTAATAGTGTATTTTAGTATCTTTGATTCTTTTAATGATTTTCCAATGTCCAAATTAAAAATTTGTTTTCTCGCTTAGTCTTCCACAAGCAGACGACAGCACCCCCTTAATAAGCATCTCTTTAAACCTTCCACTTTCATGACTTCCCATGAACCACCAGTGTATATGGATGAAGATGATGACCGATCCTGTTTTCATAGCCACATGAACACTGCTATTGAAGAGGCATCAGTAAGTTATCTATTTATATAAAAATATATATACCTGTGTATTTATCTAGGTATCATACAGATCAGGTTACAGAATGAGAACACCAGAATTTTTAAATTATTCCTATCCTTCAGAGAATGTTGGTTTCTTTTAATTAACAAGTGAAGTTTATGGGCTTTTAAAAAAACAATATATTGTTAAATCATTATATATTAATATATATCATATATATTAACACATAATAAAAATAAAAGAAATTTTAACATGCAAAATAGAGTAGTATAATGAATTCTATATAACATATGTAGTATATTAATAAAAGAAATTTCTAAAACACGTATAAAAATAGAGTAGTATAATGAACCTACATGTACTTATTACCCAGCTTCAATAGTTATCAGTTTGTTGTGATCTTATTTTGATTTATACTTCTTACCCACCTCAGCTCCATCCTGGATTATTTTGGGGCAAGTCCCAGACATTACAGAGTATTATTATCATGTTTATAAAAAGGTAATCCTTTACACAAATATACACTCAGTTCACATTTCCCCCAATCATAAATTACAATAGATTTCTTCCTTTCCTTCATTCCCACCCCCTTTTTCCTCTTCATAGAACTTTTTTGCTGAAAAACTGGGTCATTAGAATTTACCACTGTGTGTGTTTTGTTTGCTTCTCTCTGGTGTTACTTCCTCTGTTTTTCTGCTCCCTGAATTTTCTGTAAATTGATAGTGGGTCTAGATAATTGTTATCACTTACTCTGTTTTTCTGCTACCTGCATTTTCTGTAAATCAATGGTAGATCTAGATAATTGACCAGATTCAGATTTGTTAGGGTGGGCAGGACTTCCTTCATGTGTACTTTCATCAGTCTGGTGGTCTTTTCTGTTTTTTTTTGACATAGTAGCCATTGATCATTGCCTGGATTCATTAATTCATTAGATGTTACAAAACAGTGATATCCTCTCAATTCTTCTTTACTTATTTGATAGAATATTCTATAAAGTAACCCTCTCCATCAACTATTTGTTTCCCCCTAAGGTACATATGGAAGAGGCAGTATAACTGCTTGATTCTTCGTTTATTTTCTTATGTTTCAGTACATTGATATTATTGACTTTATTAGTGTTCAGATTGGCCCATTGGTCAGTTGTAACTTATTCAGGTTGGATTTTGGGATCTTTGAACAAGATTCTAGTAGTTTTTGATAGCTTCTTCATTACCTGTTCTGACAAGGAAATTCTAGGATTGTCTTGTATTTTTCCTCTTCAGACCTAGAATTAGTCCTGCTTTCTTTTATTAGGAAATTGTGGAGATGATAGCCTGACTGTAGGAATCCTACTTGATGCTGGCTTGATCATTGTTTCTAGGTCTATTTAATGGATAGAGCTGAGAAATAGGTTATATTATTGTTTAAAAATAATGGGGCACCAGGATGGCTAAGTTGATTAAGCGTCTGACTCTTGATCTTGGCTCAGGTCATGATCTCACAGTACGTGAGTTCAAACTCCACATTGGGCTGTACACTGGCAGTGTGAAGCCTGTCTCTCCTTCTCTCTGCCCCTCCCCTACTAGTGCTCTCTTGCACGCATGTGCTCTCTCTTTCTCTCTCAAAATAAAAACAAACTTTTGAAGAAAAATAAAAAAATAAAAAACCTCAGGGGCACCTGGATGGCTCAGTCGGTTAAGTGTCTGACTTTGGCTCAGGTCATGGTCTCACAGTTTGTGAGTTCTAGCCTCCACATCAGGCTCTCTGCTGTTAGCACTGAGCACTGCTGATACTGTGTCCCCCTGACCCCCATCTATCCCCTGCTTGTGCTCTCTCTCAAAAATAAACATTAAAAAAAAGACATCGTAAGTTTATATTTTTTAATTTCAGATTCAATTTAAGGACTTTGGGGATTTTACTTCTCCTTATTGATCTTAAATATGTATCTTCTTTCTCCCATGCTGAGAATCCTAGATATCAGTGACATTGACATAATACTCACTTTCTTTGTCTCATAGTGCTCACAGTAGTCTCAGAATATAATAATACTAACCTTACCATCAGCAGTATGATTACTGGAAACAGATTTTTTGACAGTTCTTTCTTCTTTTCTTTTTTTTTTGCCTTGGGATATATGCCACTGCAGAACTAAAGTCAAATCCTCTTCAAGTAATTCCTCTTGGTGTTATTGACTGCACACTAATTTAGATCAATTTATTTTATTTTCCTTTCCATCCATAGACATTTCTTTTTATTGCTGTTAATATTTTTATTTTACATCCTGAAATTCATTTCCTCAGTAACTAACATGATTCTGGCTCTTTGCTTAAAGGATTACCTTATATCTTTCTTAATACTCTGATTATTTATAATAATTGGCAAAGGAGATTTTAACGAAAGGTCAGCAAGTAAAAGTAAGTCTCTTTTTTGTTCTGTTTTTAGATTAGCCAAATACCGAGTGTATAATTTGGTATGAAACTACCATAAAATGATTGTATTCTTCACAAATTTTTCTTTTTAAAATAGCTAATATCTGCTGTGTCTTAAGTTTGTACTTTGTTAATATTAGAATTATTCATTTGAAAAATATTGATTCTACATTTTATATATCAGGCCCTGCTAGAGGTCAGCTGCATCGTTGTGCACAAAATATTTATGATCTTTGCTCTTACAAATCTTAGTCTTGTGGGAGGAGATAAATGTGTAATCACATCAATAAATTACAGATTTTAAAAAGTGCTTCAAAAACAACTGATTATAATTATTTAAGAAGTACTTTATTTAGAGTTTGGAGTTTAAGTAGAAGAACTCTAAAGAAGTGGTAGTCAAGGTGACATGTGAAGGAGGAACAAAATTTAGCCAGATGAGGAGTAGATTAATATATGTAATAGATTGAATTTGATTTAACTTTTGTTTGGTTGATTTTATTTATTTATTTTTAAATGAGCACCAGTTCAAATCATTCTGAATTTTGAAATAGCTGTTCAGATATTTATAAAACTACTAGTGGTAAAATTTATAGATTTCAAGTTCTTTTTTTAGGAAATCAATATCTAAAGAAACCATATGATTACATGTATGTACTTCCGTAGTTTTAAAATCTGTACACCATTTTAGCCTCATTTGGAATTAGTCATAGGATCTCCTCTTTAAGTAAAGTTTAAAAATGATTTTAACAAGGAAATCTGTTTATGAGGATTTAAAAAAATTTTTTAATTGTGATAAATACATATGTTCATATTTTTGTGACCCAATCTCCAGAACTCTTTACTTATTAGAAAACTGACACTCAGAACCGTTAAACAGTATCTCCCATTGCCTTCTCCTTCCAGCCCCTGGCAACTCCCTCCTACTTTGTCTCTATGAATTTGGCTACTCTGGGTGCCTCATTTAAGTGGAATCCTGCAGGTTCTGTCCTTTTGTGACTGCCTTTCATCACTTGCCATAATGTATTCAAGATTCATCTACCTTGTAACATGTGCCACTCTTTCCTTCCTTTTTAAGGCTGAATAATAAATATTTCATGGTATGTGTATACCACATTTTATCTATTCATCTGTCATTGGACACTTGGTTTGCTTTCACTTTGTGGCTATTGTGAATAATGCTGCTATGAACATAGATGTACAAATTCCTGTTCGAGTCCCTGCATTCAGTTCTTTTGGGTGTAGACCCAGAAATGGAATTGCTAGATCCATATGTTAATTCTACATTTACTTTTTTGAGGAACCGCCATACTATTTTCTATAGTGGCTGCAACATGTTACATACTCCCCAACAGTGCACTAGGGTTTCAGTTTCTCTATATCCTTGTCAACACTTGTTATTTTCTGTTTTGTTTTGTTTTGTTTTGTTTTGTTTTGTTTTGTTTTGTTTTGATAGTAGCCATCCTAGTTGTGTGGTGATTTAACTTTACTTAGTCTTGTTGGCCAAATTTAATAGTATCCTTAGACTTAAAATGCAAATTAAAAAATTTGGCATAGTTTCTACTCTTTGTATTTGCTTAAAATATCTGAATTTAATAAATTTCACTATAAAATTCCTTATCACATTATTTAACTAGTTAAGTCACATTGTATTTATTAGTGTAGATATTTATTACATTACTTAATGTCATTTTCAGTGCTGATATAGAAAGACAGTAGCTGTAATTTAACACTTTAGTTGACAGGAACTTGAAATGAGTGAAAGATGGTGGGAGATAAGGTAAGTGAAGCATGAGATTATAAACAATCTTTTATTCAGCTGAAGACTTTGGACTTGACTCTGTAGACAGTTCGGAAGTCATTGGGAGATTTTAAATCATGGTGGAGCTGGAGGAAGGAGTGATACTATAGAGGACCAATTTGAAAAATTTAAGAAAGTGTTAAGTAGTGACCAATTTTGTTGGATTAAATATGACAGTGAAAAATTAAGGGTAGCTCTTAGATTTAGGCCTTAGGCTGCTGAGTGTATAAGGAGTTACTAAATATTCAGACAAATCTGGGTTCAAATCACCTGACTCCATAATTGATTAATTATGTGACCTTGGGTAAATGTTATTTTTATAGACACCGGTTTCCTTGACATAAAATAAACATTGTAGTTAATAATACCTAATATGAGAGCAAGAGGAATGGGAGGGGTAGGAGTTATCTGGACCAGGATTGATAGACTATGGATGGGGTCAGTGAATTGGAGATGCTTTCAGGAGCATTGTAGATATTAGTGACCATGGGATCATGAGGTCATGAAGGAAAGAAATGGATCATTGATGGCAGAGCACAAATAAATTGGGAGAATAGGTAGGAAGCAGTTAGTGATTCATCTGTCAACTTCAGCTTCATGTATTTCTATAGTTGTAGTATTCATTTTTTATAGTCTTCTAAATGATCATCTTCGTAATTTAGTTTATCCCCTTGGGTAAGACAGGAATGTCCTGCCTTGATTATTGGGAGTATACAGAGCAGAAAGTGGTTTGCTCTTTGTTAAGAAAATGTGATATTTACTTGAGAAAGCATAAAAAATCTTTTAGAGAAGAGGAGCTTCCTGCAGATGAGGTAGAAGTAGATTATAAAGAGTATCACAAGGAGCCATGAATGTGTTGGGATAGGGTTGAGTCTGCATTAGTGTATGACAGAGGTAGGAATCATCCCCTGGTACTTTGTACAGTTCAATATTACTGTTGCATTAAGAAGCCCTCCAAAAGTGTTAGTCTAAAATATTGCTAATAGCAGCGCTAATTTTCTGTCAGCCCTATAAGGTAAAGTATCTTAAAAGTGAAAAATATTTTATTAGTAGAAAAATATTCTGTGTCAGTATTTCTTACTGTTTTTTTTTTTTTTAATGATTTTTTCATGTTTATTTGTTTTTGGGAGAGAGAGAGAGCGTGAGCAGGGGAGGGGCAGAGAGAGAGGGAGACACAGAATCCAAAGCAGGCTCCAGGCTCTGAGCTGTCAGCACAGAGCCCGACATGGGGGCCAACCCACAAATTACGAGATCATGACCCAAGCTGAAGTCGGATGCTCAACCAACTGAGCCACCCAGGCACCACCCCCTGTTAGTTCATTTTGATTATCAGACATTTTTGTTTCCTGTTTTATTATTAGGATGAAGAAAGTATTCCTATTATGTATAGGAATTTACCTGAATATAAGGAACTATTACAGTTTAAAAAGTTAAAGAAGCAGAAACTCCAGCAGATGCAAGCTGAAAGTGGATTTGTACAACATGTGGGCTTCAAGGTAAATTCTACTATTCATTTAATTTTTGGAAGGGTGATAAGAGAGATTTAAAGTAGTTTCTGCAGCTTTAAATTCCAGACTTCCCAGCATACAGATAAAAGTAAGTTTAGCTCTAGTCCTATTCATTTATATAAAGTAGTGTGCTACAGTTTCTGATCTCAGTAGGTTTATGATTCTATGGGAAGAAGACAAACATACAGGTATCTATATTTTGAGGTAAAATATGAGGTGTTTTTGTCTAGCTATTTTTCTTTCTTATTCTCAGTTTTACTGAGATATAACTGACAAAAATTGTATATATTTAAAGTGTACAAAATATTAAGGTGTAAAAACATCACCTCACATAGTTACCTTTTTCGTGTCTGTGTGTGTGTGTGTGTGGTGAGAAAACTTAAGTGTACTCTCTTAGCAAATTTCAAGTATACAGTACCATATTATTAATCCCATGCTGTCCATTAGACCTCCAGAACTGATTTCTCTTACAATTGAAAATTTGTATCCTTAGACTAACATCTCCTCATTTCTCCCACCTCGCAGCCCCTGGCAACCACTGTTCTACCCTCTGCTTCTGAGTTTGAGTTTTTCATTTCATTCATAAGAGAGATTATATGGCACTTGTTAACTTCTGTGGCTTATTTTACTTAGGATAATGTCCTCCACTTTCTCATCCATGTTATCACAAATGGAGGATTTCTTTTTGTTTTAGGGCTGAATAATATTCCTGTGTGTGTGTGTGTGTGTGTGTGTGTGTGTGTGTGTGTGTGTGTTTCACATTTTCTTTATCCTTTCATCCATTGGAGCTGTTGCTCTTGTTCATAGATGAGAAATTTCTTTTCGCCGTTCAGGCTACTAGAAATATATCTATTCAGTCCACACAATTTTGAAATACCCATTATGTTCCAGGCACTTTGCTTAACTGCTAGGGATTCATTAGTAAACAAGATGGACTCGGTTTCTGTCCTTATTCTGTTTTCGTCTCATAAGGAATTTAGAGAAGTTAAATTAGTAAACATAGTTGACTATGGCTAGAGAACATATCAGAGAGTAGTGCTGCTATTAAGGTGCCTTTGAGATTTACTGAGGAGTTTAAACTTTCCTTAACGAGGTTGGGGAACCATTGAAGAATCTTAAGTAGACAGTAACATGAAATTTGCATTTCAGAAAAATCATTCCAGTTACTTACACTATTAGTATAGATAACCTTGGAGAAGGCAGTGGGTTTAGAGTGGATAATCTCTGACAGCTGTATTGTTAAATTTTGTAAACAGTAATGTGTTCATGTATGTTATTTATGTAGTTGAAAAAAAATAGGTGAAGGAGAAAAAGATAATTCTGGACTTAGTATGGAGAATGGAAAGAAGAAAGCAAAGCTAGAGGCAGGGTGACTGGTTAGGAATTCTTTTGGTAATTTAGACCAAAGATGAGAATGTCTGAGGTTTGATTGGTGGCTATGGAAATTGAGAGAGATTGACAAGTTTGAGAACCTTTGGACTTTAGAATTGGCTGTAATTGGTGAGATTGGAGGAAGTAAAACTGAGACCATGAGATATAGATTTGCTGGTAGTGGTATACATAAAAATACTGATGCGTGCTGTGACTGATAAACAGAAACTTAAAATTATACCTCTCATTCTCTAGTATGGCCATTAGCCATACTATATTAAATGATTTTTCCTCTTGATCTTTCCATGACCTTGCTTCTCCATTAGAAATTTTCCTAATTGGTATCTCTGGCCTTTCAAGAGGAAACTCTCCACTTCTCAAAATTTGCCCTAAGACCCAGCTGTGGCTTGTTTACTAACCTGTCGGTCACTCTAGTTGGTCTGATGATCAAAGAAACTAGAAATGAGATTTATTTCCAAAATTGTCCCAAAGACACTGAGGGCTACCACAATGCCACCACACTAAGAAGGAGGTAGATCTGCCTTTTCTTTGTTATGGGCATTAGTAATTAGGCTTCTTCAGGCTTTGAAGAATAATTCAGTAAGATAAAAGTTTAGAGAGGATTTTGTGTTCTCTTGGGTTTGGTAATGATAGCTTGTTAAGTAGTTCTGTAATTATACAGTTTTAACTATGGTATTAAGTCAGTGGTTCTCAGTCACGGTCATTATACATTGGTCTGAGGTACCTTTAAATAGTTATTGGGGCACCTGAGTGGCTCAGTTAAGCGTCCAATACTTGACTTTGGCCCAGGTCATGATCTCACTGTTCGTGGGATTGAGCCCCCTTTGGGCCCTCCTGAGAGCAGGATACCAGGCTGGGTTTCTCTCTCTGCCTCTTCCTCACGCTGTCTCTCTCTCTCTGTCTCTCTCAAAATAAATAAATAAACTTAAAAAAATAAATAGTTATGAACACTCAAATGTCTAAATTTGCAAATGGTTTACTTGAAATTTTATTTACTTTTTAAAAGGAGTTTATTTTGGAGCAACAAGCAAGCATAAATGGGGGAGGGGCAGAGAGGGAGAGAGAATCTTTTTTTTTTTTTAAATGTTTCTGAGACAGAGAGCACGAGTGGGGGAGGGGCAGAGAGAGAGGGAGACACAGAATCTGAAGCAGGCTCCAGGCTCTGAGTTGTCAGCACAGAGCCTGAGATGGGGCTCAAACTCACAAACCTTGAGATCATGACCTGAGCCAAAGTCGGTCGCTCAACCGACTGAGTCACCTAGGCATCCCGAGAGAGAATCTTAAGTAGGCTCCATGCTGTCAGCTCAGAGCCTGATGCAGGGCTCCATCCCACGAACCGTGAGATCCCGACCTGAGCTGAAATCAAGAGTCAGACGCTTAATTGGCTGAGCCACCTAGGCACCCCCTACTTAAAATGTTAAAAAGTCAATTAAAGTAGTAAGTAACACTTACCATGATGAGCATTGAGTAAGTAATGTATAGAATTGTTGAATCACTATATTGTACACCTGAAACTAATAGAAGAACACTGTACTTTACTGGAATTAAAATTAAAAAAAAATTTTTTTAAAGTAAAGTGGAGCATATTGAAGGTCATCCCTTGGTTATTATAATGTACCTGTCACTCACCTGCACATTCATCTTGAATGAATGAAATTTGTGCTAGTTTGCTAGAAATTATATCTAATTTACAACCATTTTCGTGTTATATTACTGTCTAGTTCCTTGGGGAGAGAGATGTTTTTGTGCACATCCTTTGTTTCCCAGCAGGAAAAAAAGGTTTTGGAAAAATGTAGCTTAATATTTTTCTCTCTGAAACTTTTCTAGTGCGATAACTGTGGCATAGAACCTATCCAGGGTGTTCGGTGGCACTGCCAGGATTGTCCTCCAGAAATGTCTTTGGATTTCTGTGATTCTTGTTCAGACTGGTAAGTGTTTACTTCATATTAGGTCTTCAGTTTTGACAAGTAAAGAGCTTTTCAGCCACTAGTGAATTTGATTTCCAAACTACTTAGAAAATGACCACATTTAGTGGGTTAAGCTTTGTTGTTGTAGGCAATTAAGAAATTTTCTTTAATTATACCACATCTCAAGTAAATTTCCGTTAGAGATTTTGGTGGATTAAAGAAGTGGAACTGTGAGGAAGTTTTATAATATCTACTCCAAAATGCATCCAGTGCCGTGTATTGATGTGTCTGTGTGTGTGTGTTTGTGTGTGTGTTTTCTTTGCAGCCTACATGAAACAGATATTCACAAGGAAGATCACCAATTAGAACCTGTTTATAGGTCAGAGACATTCTTAGACAGAGACTACTGTGTGTCCCAGGGCACCAGTTATAATTACCTTGACCCAAACTACTTTCCAGCAAACAGATGACATGGAAGAGAACATCGTATACTAGTCCTCTTCAACACATAGCAATGGTATCATTGTGAATTATGTGCACAGTTTGGAAAGATTCTCTGCTTTCCCTGAAATGACACTCACAGCATGACAGCTTCCTGAGTGTTCTTGTCAAGTCCAGCTCTGCACCGTTGTGGCTCTAGATCACTGTTCAGCAGCCGAGCATTCCTGGTGAGCAAAGGGTTTCCCTGGTGAATTTCTCACCATCACCTTAAAGCCTTTTAGGTGGTGATATTAAATGGGTGAGATGGAAACGAGAGCACACATTAAAGAGAGTAAATTCCAAAGGTTTCAAAGAACTCGGTCATAAATAAGATAATGAGAAGACAAAGTATTTATATTAAAACAGTTTAGTAGCTTTCAGTTTTGTGAAAATAGTTTTCGGCACAGAAGCTGACTTCTTAGACAAAGTTTTAACCAATGATGGTGTTTGCTTCTAGGATAAACACTTTAAAAGAACTCACTGTCCCAGTGGTGGCCACTGATGGCCTTTAGTAAATCGGAGCTGCTTAACCATATTGATGTCTAATTTCTTTTAACCACAATGAACTGTCCTTATTACCAACAGCGAAGCACTACAGGAGGCACTGTGGCATTGCTTCCTTGACCAGCTCATGGTGTGTGAATGTTATAAAATTGTCGCTCAGATATATTTTTTAAATGTAATGTTATATAAGATGATCATGTGATGTGTACAAACTATGGTGAAAAGTGCCAGTGGTAGTAACTGTGTAAAGTCTCTAATTCACAACATTAATTCCTTTAAAATACACAGCCTTCTGCCTCTGTATTTGGAGTTGTCAGTGCAACTCATCAAAGAAAACTGCCTAATATAAAAATCATATATATGGTAATAATTTCCCTCTTTTGTAGTCTGCACAAGATCCATAAAAGATTGTATTTTTATTACTATTTAAACAAGTGATTAAATTTAGTCTGCGCAGTGAGCAAGAGTTCACATGCATTCTTTTATACTGCTGGATTTTGTTGTGCATCATTTAAAACATTTTGTATGTTTCTTCTTATCTGTGTATACAGTATGTTCTTGAATAATGTTCATTTGTCAGGAGAACTGTGAGAAATAAACTATGTGGATACTGTCTGTTTATATTATAGAATGCTTGTTGTGACTTCCTTTTTGGTTAGATTTTGGATTTGTTTTACTAGTGTTAAAACAAAAAAAAAATTTTTTTAGGGGGTTGCTTTACCTTTCTGTCCTTGAAAAAGAGTAAGGACTATATAGTATTATGGAAATGAACTTGAGAAGCTCTGAGAGAAGATGGTAATCTTTTCACTCAGTGTGTGCTGAGACACTAATTAAACTAGCTTACAAAAAGAACACACACCATGGTTAAAAAGGCTATTATTAATGTCCAGATGTGAAAACTATACTCGGGCTGAAAAATTTTACTCTTAATTCTTTTAGATGAAAGTAAGCCTCTTCACGTGTTTAATTTAAACAGATGGTTTTTGAAAATCACTCTATTCACTGGCAATTATTATTGACTATTGGAAGAGATCACATAAGTATTCTAAGATTAAGTATTATACTCACCTAGTTTTTGGACTAAGTCCCGTTTTTTCCAATTTTAAGTCAAGGGAACGTTATTTAATACTCCTTCAATATGTTGTAGGGTACTAAAATCATACCTTGAATTTTTTTAACTGAGAAAAGTAATGTTATTTTAAGTATAGAAATATGAGAATTTTAAAGTAATATATTGACTAAAGATTACTGATGTTGATAAAATATATTGCATCAGGAAGAACAGGAAATGGACTTGAGCTTTACTTCTTACCCTGGAATCAGTAGTTGGGGGGAAGAAGAAGGAGTTGTTAACATTTGGGCATTTTGATATTAAATGTTAACTGATATATGCTAGGAAATCTGCCTTCTTGCAGCAAGACAGCAGCACTTGGTAGTAACTTCTGTGTTTGTATAGAAATAATATTATTGGGGGAGGACCATTCAGGTTTATTCAAAAATCCCATAAAGTATGCTTTGGAAGAGGGCTGTGTGTGATACAATTCTGATGTAAACAATACACAAAATAAATCCACTTAACTGTATTTTTCAAGAGCAAAGATTTTGAGAACTTTGAGTGGCAAAGAGGATTATTTTCTGCTTGAGTGAAGATGTGTTAATTTTGCATTTTTCACCTCCAGGCAAGTAGTCCTCCTGGCTTAAAAAGGCCCTATATGGTAATAGTAGCAGTGGTAGTAGTAGCATGAGTAGTAATATGGTGGTGGTGTTTTAATTGGCGGACTGCAGGAATAGGCAGGGCTGTCTTTTACAAGTAGTCCTTCGATCTCCTACAGAGAAGTATTGGCCTTAAGAGACAACATAGACCTACTTGTGAAAGCCTTGCATATTAAGTGGTAGGTCAGATGTATTTCCTGAAATATTATGTTCAAGTTGTTTGATAAGAACTGAAGGAACTTTTAGTGACACCTAAAACCACTGCTTTAAGGTTTAAGCAGAGGAGGCTTTGATCGGTGTGGTGTGCACTAATAACAAGCGCAAAACCGAGTAAGTGCTTACTATGAGCCAAGCCAGCATACAGTAGCAGATTTAATTCTCGCAACCTTAGGAGAAAGGTGCATTTGTTAACCTGTTTTCATATGAGGAGATCTAGCCAGAGAGGTTAAATAACTTGCCCAAGGTCATATGGTTAGCAGAGTGGTCCTGCTTAGATTTTAACCTAGACAGATTGCTGCAGAGTCACTACCCAATTTATGGAGCAAGAACATTCCCTTTGTGTCAAGCATCACTAAGGTTTGGAGATGGAAGTGTGTAGGGGTTGCTTTTCACTCTTTTTTCCTGGTGTGGCATGGTTCCTAGAGCCACAGACCTGAGGACAGGTCCAGGTTCATGGTACAGAATAGGAAGCAGACCCTTGGATGGGAAGACAGCACTGAGTTCTAGAAAACCACTCAGACGTATAATTTACATATTCTAATTTGACAGCAAACATGTGATCTTGAGGCTTTAGGCAAAGTCTCCTGCCTGAGACAGAATTTGTTTCCATGCATGCTTGGTGCCTCTCACTTAACCTAATAGTATGCCTTACCCAGTTTCCTTCCCTTTCCCCTTGTGTTTAAATTACAGTACAGAAGACAACAGTGTACTGAGATATGAAGAACATTTTTTTTTTCAAGAAAAGAAAATAGCATATCACAGGTAGTAAGGATAAATACTGTTTTGTGAAAGTCTTCTTTTAGTTATTACTATGGCATGCTATATAAACTGTATTTCTTAATGTAGGTAACAGATTTTGAAAGCCATTGTTCTAGTTGCACTGGATGGAATTGGAAGTACTTGTTTTTTTTTTTTTTTCCAGATAACAAGTAGTTTTTTCCTCCACAGAGATTATAGAGGCATTGACCTTTTAGGTTGTAAAGTATTTTTATTTTTTAACCTTATGAAAATAACCTCCTGTTGATAGAATCCCAGAAAAAAAATACCTTTTTTTTTTTTTAACTTTTTTTTTCGTGTAGCCAATTAAATGAATTTTTGAGAAGTGGTATCCCATTTAGCTCCATAAGGACAAAGACCATCCCTATCTGTGTCCCTGTGGCCTGCCTGGCTCTTAGATTTTTAATAAATATTTAGTACTAGTATAATCAGTGTTTTGATGAGTTATATATTTTCTCCAGAAAGGTAGGAGAGACCACATATGTCTGAGTGTGTCTGTGAGTGCCTACGTGGGGCCCTTTGGGGGCCTGCCTCAGGAGATCTTTATAGGGCTCTGAGAGTATTGAAGAATTGCGTCCTATCTTATCTGGAGGATATTGTTCAAGCCTGGGTGGCTGAGAAGATTATGGTTTCCTCTGGGTTCCCAGTTAGGCCGTAAACCTTGATTCTCTGCCATGTTTTTAGAGTGAAAGGGCACTGGAGTGGAAATTCTGGGTCCCAGTCCCAATTGTGAAAGTGAGGCACTCAACAAATATTGACAAAGAACCACCTTTTATTGAACTCTAGGAACTAGTAAATGATTTACATGTATTACTAACTTGTTGAATACTTGCAACCCCTCTGTGAGGTTGCTTACTATTATGTCCACTGTACAGATGAAATAACCAAGTTTCAGAGGATATAAGTGTTAGCTTTTAATAATTGGGTGTGGGATGGAGAGTATAAAGCTTTGCCCTTCTAGAGCCTTATGGTCTAATGCAGAAGAGCACCAGTAAACACATAAATATATTACATAAAGTTAGGCAGAGATAAATGTTGTGAAGAAAATAATGTTTGAAGAAAAATGGTGGAAGAATGAGGACCAGACTGTCATTTTAGATGGAATAATCAAAGAATGCTCGATGAGACCTGGACGGAGTGAGGGAATCGGCCTGTGGATAACCTGGAGGAAGAGGCGGGATAGCAACAACAAGGGTCTGATCCAGCAGAGATCTTGGCTTGTTCAGGCAACATTAAGAGGGCCCGTGTAGCTTGAGCCAAACGAGCAAGAGGAGAATGTAGTTGATGGGGTGATACAGGGTACAGAGGCAGAGCAGGTGAGGCCTTGAATGTAGACCATTGTAAAGGAGTTTGGATTGTGTTCTGATGTCTTTCACATACACACAAGGGCTTCTGCTGGGCAGAGACCTCTAAGATCCTTTCCTGCTTTAAAATCCTGTGACTTTAAAGTAGTGATGTCATTTCAAGCCATCCACGTCCGTAACACGTTTTAGCAGTCTGTTGCATCTCCAGATCCTCTTCAGGGGCAAAGCCATTTATTTACCTCTGCCGATTCTTTTTTTTTTTCAAGAGGACAGCCAGCTACAGCCATAAAGGTCACGGCATCTGTTGTCTCCTATCCCGTACTCAAGCTGTCCGAGCTGTGGTAGGCATGGACTGTGTTTGCCAATATGTGGTATGTGTTTCAAGAATGTTAATCCCTACAGAGAGTCATTCTGTGTTTTTGGCATAACTGGTCATTTTCACCCTCTGATTCTGATTTGCTCAAATGCTCCTTGTGCTCCCGTACAGAGAGTGAGACAACTGGGGTGGTAATAAAGTACTTGATAACTGTGTGAGTTGAAGGAACATGCCCCTTTTTGGTAATACAGGCACAATTGTAACCAAAGAAATTTAATTTCTTCTTTAGCAAACACTACATTTCTGTTTAAGAATGACTGCTAGGGCAAAAGGAAACATAAAAATTACCATGTATCATGAGTACACTGAGAATTCTCTATGTAATAGCTCAGAACTGATCTACGGCCAAAATTAAAACCATATGAGCATATCATAAATCTCCACTATTAACTGTGTTTGCTTCTAATTCTGTTTGGAATAAGGCTTCAAGTGCTTTCCAGAATGATGTGAGTTACAAATAAATAGAAAAAGAGCTATGCTGTGTTCCATTTATTTTATTTGTACATATATCCATTTCAAAAAAAAAATGACTTTAAAAATACAATTCTGTCCCAGAATTGGATCCTTATCAGCACGACCATTGAAGGGAAAAGAACAGCATGCAAACTGAAACTATGGTCATTTGTAGTGACTGAATGGAAGATGCAGTTATTCCAGGAGAATATATAAGAAGCTCTGATTTGGCAACTGATAACACAAAAGAGAACCCAAACCTCACTGGTTTGAAGCAGGGTAAAGCACAGTTTTACATATGGATATGATAAGGTTTGCACAGCCCTGGAAAAGGCCCATATGAAACAAATACAGCACTGGGATCTGTTAAACATCATGTACTGACATGCCTCTCCCACCCACATCAGTATTGTTACTGTTACTTTCTTGTTTGGCAGTAATAAATACACGATCTTATAAAATCAAAACTATAAGTTGACATTATTCCAGTGAACGCAGTAACAAATCACCTCATGCTTTACGTTATGTTTGGTCATTGGTATTAATGTATAATTGCTGAAATGCACCACCAGGTGTAAAAGAGATTAGGTTAGACAATTTATTCAATTTGTTTTCTTTGTCATATGACAGTATTCCAAGTAGTAGCCAGTTTCCTAAAAATGAATGCAGAAATGTTATTGGTGACTAGTCTGGGTTTTACAGCCTTGGAAAAGCTATACAATTTCACATTGTTTTACTTCTTATCAAATTTTCAAATTTAATCATATTTCTTATCACCAGTTGGAGTTATCAGACCAGTCTCTCTGGCTCTGAGCTACTAGTGGATGAGACTTGAGGAAACAGCCACTAGAGGAGGTACCCAGGTGCCTCCCCGCCCCATGGTAAGGCCCTTTATCAGGCAACAGCATGTAAATCTTGGGGTGAGGAAGGAAAATGTGATGGGGCATTAGGGGGTCACTAACCCCGTTTGATGACAGAGAAATCAAATGGTCAGACTAGCAGGTCCCGAGGGCACAACTGAACACCACGCTCTGTTCACGTACTAGCTAGCAGCTCTGAGGCACAGCTGATGTGACGGAAGAGTGTGCGTGCTGGGGGTGCGGACGGCTGTCTGAATTAGGAAGAAGAGGTTAGATAATACCAAATACACCATGCATGATTTCCAGACACCTCTCGGAAAGGTCAAGCTCAGAAGCAAACAGCAATGTCAGGATCTGGGGTGGGGTGGGGATGGGGGACACAAACGGTTTAACTTGAAACAATATTGTGTTAAGGGATGAGCCTTTTAATATTTTTTTCTGTCTCCACTCTCCTTGATGTGCATGCTTTTTTTGCCTTCAGAAAATAGAGTCAATAGCTGTGCAGAGTTGAAGAAAAACTTCCTCCGGTGTCCCCTCTGCATTTACCTATATTTAAAGGGAAAAAGAAAGTCTTAAAAAATCTTTGTTAAATAAGACCATTTTTAATAATAAAAGAATTGCCTGCTCTAGGCACCCAAACCACAGAGAAAAAAGTGAGTGGTTGTTAAAAAGAAAAACAACAAAAAAACTAGGTTTATCTAAATTAAAACATCAAGGAGATACCACTGCACACCTATTAGAATGGACAAAATCCAAAATGCATCAGCAAATGCCGGTAAAGATGCGGTACAGTACTCATTCTTTGCTGACGGGAATGCAAAATGGTACAGCCACTTTGGAAGGCGGTTTGGCAGTTTCTTACAAAATTAAACATTCTTACCGTATAATCCAGGAATTGCGCTTCTTGGTATTTACCCAAAGGAGCTGAAAACGTCCACACAAAAACTTGCACATGGATTGTTTATAGGAGCTCTGTTGATAATTGTTAAAACTTGGAAGCAACTAAGATTTCATTAGGTGAGTGGAAAAACTGTGGTATCCAGACAGTGGAATGTTATTCAGTGCTCACAAGAAATGAATTACTAAGCCATGAACAGACTTGGAGGAAACTTCAATTCCTATTATGAGGTTAAAAGAAGCCAATCTGGAAAGACTCCATACCATACGACATTCTCAAAAAGGCAAAACTATGGAGACAGTAAAAAGATTGGGTTGTGGCCAGAGAGGAATGACTAGGTGGGACAAAGAGGACTGTTACAGTAGTGAATGGTGGATACATGTCAATAAACATTTGTCAAAATCCAAGGGTGTGAACACCAGGAGTGAACCCTAATATAAACCAGACTAATGTTGAGAATGATGTATTGATGTAGATTTCATCGATGAACCTACCATTGTGTGGGATGTGGCTAGTAGGGGAGGTCGTGTGTGTGTCTGGGGACAGGGCTACATGAGAATTCTGTACTTTATACTTTTTGCTGTGAATTTAAAACTAAAAATCGGTTTAAAACAACGAAACGTAGGTGCCTTGTTGAGGTAAAGTATTGTTAAGGCTCATGGAAAAACTAGAATTAGTTAAAAGGCTTCCGTGTTCTAGAGCATTTGGACAGGATGGGCATAGGGCTTTGGGTCATGGGCGAGGTGGGGGGGCTGGCGTGTAGAGAAGAAGAAAGCTGGGACCTCCACTTGCGGGTGTGCTAAGTGCAGAGTCCCCTCAGACGTTGCTGGCACACCACTGCGAGGAGCCAACAGCAGAAGAAGCGGCAGGGAGCGGACTTCCTGGGTGTTAAGGCACAACTACCCCTTCCTCTCTCAAAATGTCCCAACGTTGGGGATGCCTGGGTGGTTCCGTCAGTTAAGCGTCTGACTTCCGCTCAGGTCAGGATCTCATAGTTCGTGAGTTGGAGCCCTGTATTGGGCTCTGTGCTCACACTCAAGAGCCTGCAGCCTGCTTCAGATTCTGTGTCTCCCTCTCTCTCTGCCCCTCCCCGCCTCACAGTCTCTCTGTCACTCTAAAAAATAAACATTAAAAAAAAAGTGACCCAGCATCGTACCAATCACCGAGGTATGTCCCAGGCACAGGAAGAGGAGACCTGGTGACCCACAGGACCCGCGGGAGGGGCGGGCAGCGAGCCTGCTGAGGTGCAACTCTCAACCTTCATCTCCACAGGGCCTCATTTCTGCGGTTGGGCTGGGCCGTCTAATCTGCATATTTAACAAATTCTCCAGATGATTTCCCTGTGGGTTATCTTGGACCACACTGATTTCTTCCAATCTCGTCTACCTTCTTTGCACAAACTAGTTTCGATTTCACAACACTAGAGACTTAACAGATTCCAGAGATAGAATAAGTTCTCAAAAACAAAACACCAAAACTAAAAAACCACATTTAAATATCCCAGAAAATAGGTACAACAGTGTTTCTAGAAGTGTTGTTTGTAATAGCCCCAAGCTGGAAAAATCACACAAGTCCATGAGCAGTAGATGGATAAATAAATTGTGGCATAGTCACAGGCTGGACTAGAATAGTGATGGAAGAAACACTACAGCTACTATGTTGAACAACAGGGATGACTCTCCCAAAGTTGTGGTGAGGGAAAGAAGCGGGTCTTGAAAGAATATGCGTGCAGTGCAATTCAAGTTCTGTAAAATCCAAGAACACGCAAAGCTACATCGTGTAGGTTCGGGATCCATACATAAGTGGTAAAACCATTAAGAGAAGCAAGAAGATGATTATGAAAGTCAGGAGTGGCTCCTGCTTGGAGAGAGGACGGAGGAGGTGACGGGGGAGACCCAGGGAGCCTCTGCCATTCTTTCCTACTTCCTGGGCCTGTGTGGTGATTACACTGTTTGTTTTATAATTCCCCAAACTGTACATATGGCTTTTATGCATAACCATGTGTGTGATAAATCTCCCAATAAGGAGAAAATTAAAATAAAAAAAAAATTTAAGCGCCCTCCCCCAACATGTCCTACCCTTTCCTTCTAGGAAAGTCAAAGACAGCAGTCTGCAACTTGTCTCCCTGGCTACAGGCTTTCCATCTGAGGGCAGAGACTTCGGCTTCACCCTGTGTGTCCCTCACGGCACCTTGCCTCTTGTTTTACCTCTCCTTCCTCTTCTTTCAACCAACAAACGCTTCCTGGGTGCTAACATTATGTGCTGGAGATACCAAGCTGAACAAGACAAAATGACCCTGCTCTCACAGAGCTCACAACTCAAGAACAGAGATGAAGAATTAACAGGAATTTATGCTGTTTTGAGGCCAGTACAGGAGCTGTGGATACAGGAACACCTTCCACCATGTTGGGAGGGCAGGGAGTTTCCTGAGGAAAATCGTCAGCAGCAGCAGCAGCAGCACTACAGAAGCATAAGTGCTTTTATTTTTAAATAAAATATTTTTAATTAAAATGTTTTTCTACCTCTGCCCTTGCTTCACTTCCGCCCTTATTTGCTAGCTCACTTCCTTCTTCCCTCCGTCTCATCATCTCTGAAGTCTTCCTTCGCCCCCTCCCTGGCTCTCTCTCTTCCTCCCTCCCTGAGTCCCTCGCCTCCTCACTGGCTCTCATTCCATTCCATTCCATTAAAAAGCGGTTTTTAAACAGGTAATTCTGACAGTGATCTTGGGAGGACAGATACTATCCCCATTTCACACATGACAAAACTGAGGCTCTGAAAGATGAATTAAATTTCCCAAGGTCCTACAGCTAAGTAAGTGGCAGGGACCTGGTGGAAACCAAGGTCTCTGACTCCAAAGTCCTTGCACTTCCCGACCACATTAGAATATGTCCACCAGCTCAAAATGGCTGCTTGGCTGAATTTGGTTGGGGCAACAAGGAGTGAAGCTGGAATGGTAGGTCTGTGTTGATCATAAAGAGGCTTATAGATTCTGTTACATGATAATGGGAATTACGTAAGGGTTTTTAAAGTATGAGTTGATACAATCAAACGGGTACACAGAAGCTGATAAATGTTTGCTTAGTCAAAAAATTGCAGGAGGGTTGAAGTGCAAGGCAAAGAGCACTGTAGTAGGAGCCATGATACCTGTATTAATCCCCAGTCGGCTTCAGGACTCGGACTAGACATTCATCCTCCTGGTGCCTCAGTTTCCTCCTCTGTTCTATAAAGGGACTGATGACAGACGTGTAACCTCCAGGTTCGGTTCCAGCTCTGATACCCTATGCTATTCCAAATCTCAGTTCACGTTTTTTGTGGGGATCAGGCGCCCATCAGTGGGCATCAGGACTGTTGAGTTTAGTTTGGTGTTGCCAGTCAAGCTGAGCCTGGAGTGGATATGTATTTGAAGATAATGAGAGCCTTCTCTGTGGAGAGACCAGCATGTGCAAAGGGATAGAAATCTGCAAGCACCTGGAGTTTTCAGGGATCAGTGGGTCTTTGTTGGGGACAGAGCAAATGCTGCTTGAGTTGGAGGAAGGAGAACAGGAGGCTGGAAAAACAGGTCGGGAGGAGGTTGTGCCTCCATAGATTTACCTATTCTGGACATTTTCTATATATGGAATCACATAGTGTATGGGTTTTTGTTAATTTTTATTTTTCACTAAGCACTGTCTTCATGGTTCACCCATGTTGTATGGGTGTCATTACTGTGTTCCTTTTTCTGGCCCCATAATGCCTTATCTTTAACCTGCATGTACAGGACATGCTTTGGAATGCCTGCCTTCCTAACATCACTTTTCAGCAAATCTGCTGCTGCTCGCTGCCCTGCTGAACCTGCCCTTGCCTTATCAAACCCTATAAGGAGGGAAGATTGTTAACTCACTTTCCTTGGCCCCTCTCATGGCCCGTGTAGTGGGCATGGGTAAGAAGGTAGCGATCCATTAACACTTAGCTTATTGTTTACACTGTCCATGACATTATTAGTGGCAGGTCTCTGGTCCCCCTGTTCAGTGGATTCTCACACGGAGAATATTTTAAGAGAATAAGGGACTTTTAGAGATTTTCATGTTACTCCTGGGTAAGTCAAAAGAAATGGGAAAGAACCAATTTACTAAGTGCATTTTAAGTTACAGAAACTATTCTCAGTGCTTACAACTTTAGCAAATTTAAACCCACTAACAGGGTGCCAGTGTTTAACACCCTTAGTGAACAGATAAGAATCCTGCAAACTGGGGGTGCCTGGGTGGCTCAGTCAGTTAAGCGTCCGACTTCGGCTCAGGTCATGATCTCATGGCTTGTGAGTTCGAGCTCCATGTCAGGCTCTGTGCTGACAGCTCAGAGCCTGGAGCCTGCTTCGGATTCTGTGTCTCCCTCTCTCTCTGCCCCTCCCCTGCTCACGCTCTGTCTCTGTCTCTTAAATAAACGTTAAAAAAAAAAAAAAAGAAAAAGAGTCCTGTAAACTGTTTTGTGTGAAGGGGACTTCCTCAGTAATTGAGCAAACTTAAAAGACCCCCAATTCTGAATCAGCAGAGTCAGAATGTATGAAGCTTTAATGTATTTCATTTAATTGAAACCTAGATAAGTGGATGTGCTTTTGACTTTAAGAACCTATCTTTTTGAGTCAAAGACTTAATATAAAATCCTGCAATAA